ACAGCGCTGGGTACGCGGGCTTCGCTAAGCCCTTGTCGAGCCTCCTTCAGAAGGACGTCGACTGGCGCTGGGAGCAAGAGCACCAGGATGCTTTTGACAGCATCAAGGCCAGTCTCCAAGAGGCCTCTGTCCTGGCTCTGCCGGACGAGACGAAGCCGTTTAGCGTCGTCTGCGATGCCTCCGATTACGCCATCGGGTGTGCATTGCTGCAGGACGACACGGCTGGACAGGAACGAGTCATCTCATTCCAGTCCAGGCAGCTCAAAGCCGCCGAGCGGAACTACCCTGTCCATGACAAGGAGCTCCTGGCAATGAAATATGCCCTTGTGAAGTTCCGTGTTCACCTTCTGGGCTCTACGCCCTTTGTGATCTACACAGACCACGCGTCCTTGAGGACGGCGACTAACTCGCCTCACCTCTCCCAACGGATGGCGAGGTGGCTGTCCTTCTTCGCGGAATATAACTTCCGCGTCGAGTACAAGCCGGGCAAGCTCAACGTGCTTGCGGACGCCCTCTCTAGGCGTCCCGACTATGAGTTGGCCCACATCACGCGGGTGACAACGTATCTATATGATCGGATACGCATGGCGTATCGGGACGATGAGGCTGTCGCGCCTATCGTCAAGTTCCTTAAGGCCGGAACGAGCGCGAAGTCCGACTGGCTCTCGTCGCGACAGCGCTCACGGCTCCACCGATATGAGTTGAAGGAGGGCCTCCTCTATTATCGGGTAGAGCCCACTGATCCTCCACGGGTGGTTGTACCCAACGACGAGGATCTGAAGTTCGACATCCTCGCGGAGGCGCATGACGCGCCCTCCAGCGGCCACTTGGGCCGCGAGAAGACCTTTCTGTCGGTCTCTCAGTCCTTCTGGTGGACCCACATGTACAAGTGGGTCGCCCGGTACGTCAAGACATGTGAAACATGTCAGCGGGTTAAACCCGCAGGGCACTCTTCGGCTCCACTACAGAGCCTGCCCGTACCGGCTGATTGTTGGAAGTCGATGAGTCTTGACTTCATCTTTGGGCTTCCCGCCGACGGACACGGCAACACCGGAATTTTGGTGTTCGTGTGTCGGCTGAGCAAGATGGTACATCTTGCTCCAGTTCCCGTCACTGTGACGGGCGAACAAACCGCAAGGTTGTTCGTCGATGGCGTGTTCCGCTATCACGGTCTCCCGGAGACGATTGTCTCGGACCGAGACCCGCGGTTCACTGCTGCGTTTTGGAAAACGCTGTTCCCTTTACTGGGAACTCGTCTGCAGATGTCCACTGCGGATCATCCGCAGACAGACGGCCAAACAGAGCGCGTCAATCGAGTGCTCGAGGACACTCTGCGCAGTGTGTGCGCGGCAGCGCCACGTACGTGGTCGACGCAGCTTCCAGTTGTTGAGTTTGCGCTCAACAACGCGGTGCACGCGTCCACGGGGTTCACGCCGTTCTACTTGAACGGCTTCCGCCACCCCAGAGTGCCTCTCACTCTTCGAGGAAACACTGACTCCTCTATTCTAAGTGGGGGAGAGGCTCGGAAAGCCCTTTCCTCCCAGGTCTCGGATGTGAGGCCAGTTTCGCTGCGGAAACAGGTGGAATCCTTTATGGATACCAAGCTGAACATTGTCAGCAGGGTCCGCGATGCCATGGCAGCGGCCCAGGATAGACAAAAGGAGTACTCAGACAAACATGGAAGAGGAAACTTAAGTGTATTTAAAGTGGGGGACTTAGTGCTATTAGACACGAGGAACCTACCGCTAGACACTGTCAGCTCTGTCGGCAGCAACAAGCTGAAGCACCGCTTCATCGGACCTTTTGCAGTCCTGGCCAGACATGGTGCGTCGTACACCATCGACCTTCCAAAGTCAATGACGACGCACCCGACGTTCTATGTCGGACGTCTTAAGCGGTACTTTGACCCGCAGGGGGTTGCTGACTCGCAGACCCCCCTTGACCCAGCTCCTCGAAGCGAGGGCCGGTCACAGTCGTCGACGAGGGCGTCGGAGCAGGCACCCAAGCCTCGGTCGGGACGGCAAGGCTGCGGTCAAGACCGTACGCCGGAGGGGCTCCATACGAACGGACCCCGGCGCCATACGCCGAGTACGCTGAGTACGCCGGGTACGCACCATACGCGTACGTCTGGGAGTGTGCCGCAGGCGGCTCCGGACGTGGCAACAAAGCCTCGATCCGTCGGATCATGCGAAAGGCCTCGTCCAGATCGGACGAAGAGGCCCGGCGGTCCACCCGCAGGTGCAGGCTCGCGACCTCTCGCTCCACCAGGTCCAGGCGACCCGCAAGACGAGCGAGCTCGCCCTGATTCCCGGTCTGGGCGGCAGCATTACCGCCAGTCCCAAGGCCAAGTGCAATCTCAAGCACGAGGAGACGTTGACGGAGGCGGTCAACCTCAGGGTCCCGTGTCGGACCCGCAGTCGGAGCACTCGAACGAGAGTGGCTCTCGGGAGGCGCCGAGTACTCGTACTCGTACGAGGGCACCTCCGCCCCTGCTTGACCGGAATGGAGAAGTCCACTTCCACGTGGAGCGGATCCTCCAGGAGCAACGGTGTCGCGGGAAGCGACAGCTCCTCGTGAAGTGGAGGGGTTATGCCCACTCCGAGAACTCGTGGGAGCCGATTGAACGGCTCCTGATTGACTGCCCGAAGGCTGTCGCAATCTGGGAACAGAAGCGGCGGCAGCTTCATAAGTAGTCCGGGGCTTCTTGCCCGAACGGGGTACGGATGATGAATACATACCGTACCCGCGCTCATCGTGAGCGCTAGAAGCCGCGCGCTTCAGGATGTCCCTTGGCAGCATACGCTTGCTGATCAAGTGGGCAAACCTCACACGAAGATCACGCTGGTCCAGGATGTGGGACAGCTGCTGATCTTCATGGAGTTCCCATAACTCCGTGGGCGAGTACTTGAGAGTCTCCACCCACGCCCAGAACATGTCCTCACAAGACCTCCATGTGGGACAGTTCTCGGGCATAACCCAGGGGTATCCCCAAACAGGATAGAGACCACCCCGGGTCTCGGGCTTCTTACGACAAGTCGTGAAGTCCTTAAGGGGAATGCGGTGTGGCGCGAGAAGCACACACCGAGCAGCCTCCACGTTGTCGACGAACAACTGTTCTTTCTGAACAAGGGCTCGTTCATAGATGCCCCTAGAAGTGTGGCCGCCCACAAGGCCACGAGGAGCGACAAGAAGCTCTAAGAAGAGGTCAGCCCCAGAGCTCTCCTCGGGAGGCCAATACCCTCTTGAGTTGATGGCAGCTCCCTGGTTGACGGGTGCCGCCACCGAACCCCCACGCACACGCTGGGCAGCTTGGAAATCCTCCTGCTGCTGGTCGAGGTCATTCGAGACCTCCCGGGGCTCAACAATGGCACCCTCCTCTTCCTCTTCTTCCTCCTTCTCCTCCTCTTCATCCGAGGAGTCGAAGAGACTCTGATAGGAGCGTCGAGTCTCCTTCTCCTCGCGGAGTGGAGACTTAGAGGCGGTACGCTTCTTTGAGGGCTTGGCGCCTTCGGCTTTAGAGGCCTTAGCGCGCGCAAGACCCTCGGCAAGCGAGAGACGTTTGCGAGGACTCCCTTCCTCATCGCCACCGGCTTTGGGAGTGCCCTTAGCCTTAACGGCCGGACTCTCAGAGCGCACAGAGGTCCTGGGACTGTGATCACCGTGATCACTAGCGGACGACTGCACGCTGTCTTCTTTGTGCTCACTGGGCACTGGGCTGTGCCCTCCCACAGAGCCCGCAGGAGCATCATGAGTGCTCTCGAACTCGGCATCGTCCTCACTGCCCGAGTTGAACTCATGTTCTACGAACCGAGGGTTCGGACGATTGTCTGAAGACGAGGGCGACGGACTGCGGCGCCTGCTTGCGCGCTTGTCCGCAGCCGCGTCACCCGAGGATCCGATCGCCTCGGAGGCCACCTGAGTAGCCTCCTTGAGTGCAGAGCCTTTGCCGTGAGGCTTAGTGCTCTTGGCCTGCGCCTTACCGGCTGCAGCCTTGGAGCGTGTCTTAGCACCGCTCTTAGCAGTGCCACGAGGCATGTTAACGGTCGAAGTGGAGACCTTGACGAAGAGCGCACAGGTTGCTGCTCGAGGCTCTAACTGTAAAGTGAGCCTCCGCCGCGCTCGCGCGGCCGAGTCGATGGTTTTCGACTTTGAGAATGAGAGTTTGTGACGAACATCTCTTCATTCTGATTGGTCGGTAAACCGAACCTAAGTGGGGGAGGATGTAACGGGGTACGTAGCACTAAGTGTACCCTGGTTACATGAAGTGTGACACTTCACACTTCAGGAGTATGACATGTCATACTCCGGGATATTTGGTACAAGGTACCAAGGTCATTCAAAACCAACCATTGGTTAAATGACATTGCATTACTATAGGTAACTGATAGTTTGTATTAACCTCAAACTTAACCTACCTATAAATATACTCAGTTTACAATCTACCTTATTTAGGTCACTTCGCTCTCTTTAATTAAAGAGGGGACCTGTGAACTGCCGTTCACTGAGAGTTTGTATACTCTCGGAAGATAACTTCCTCTAGCGCAAGGTGCTGTGTGACCCCGTCACAGTAGTAGTAGGATAGCTCGTAGCCCTAGTGGTCATGATCGGTGTACACACCGTCGAACACGCAGCTTTCCAGCTCTACCAGCTGATGCATGGAGCACCCACGCAAGCATAGCCAACATTTCGGCTGGAAACGGAATGGAGACCTCACTTCTCGCGGTTGTGGTTGGAGACGGTGGAGATCACGTGAATCTTCGCCGCTCACTTGGCCGTGTCATTCTCAAACTTAGCCCAAGAGCTCAAACATACCACGACGACGCCGTCCCGAGCAAGCGGCACCGACACCCGTGCAACATTTAACGAATCGACAGCTGGATCCAAGCACCGAATGCCTTGAGAGCCAAGATCAAAAACCTGCACAAGTAGCGAGAAATGTACATGCACGCTCATTTGAAGTTATGAAATAATCGCCTCGTGCGCCTTGCGTTCGTACTCATCTACCGCTTCTGGTGGTTGATGTAGCGCAGCGCAATGAGTCCGACAACGCGGCAGCCGATCAGGATGAGGAAGAAGTGCGTGATGCCCTCGTGCTCGTAGCCAAAGTACTGTTCCGTGTACTCCTTGACGGTGATGTGGCCCACCGTCACGGCGGAGTCGGCCATGGGCTGGCATCCAATCTTGGAGACCCCGTTCTCGTACGACTGCGTCGTCTCGTTCCACGTCGGAAGGTCGTCACAGTCCGCAAACACCAGCGCCTCCAGAATCGAGAGAGGGAATCGCAAGGGGGAAATTCGGTACAGCCACGTGTAACCGGGCGATGTAGCCCATCCCCCATCATCGTGGCGGTATTGAAGAGTAGTCCGAAGATTGACGCGGTTTCCTCGGACGGCAACAAGAAGGCGAACATCATTCCTTGGTACACTTGCATGAGAACCAGCAGCGAGATCGTCAGCCAGAACACGACGACAGTCCAGAAGCCCGTGAAGCCCACCATGGGGTAGAACACAACCATGAAGAGCAAGCCACTGCAGAAGCAGTAGGGGATCTCAGCCACGGTTGAGCCCACAAAGAATCACAGCGCATTGTACGTCTGCGACGCGCGTTCCCGGTAGTACGATGCTCGCTCGGAGCAGGCAAGCGGCAGAATACTCTGGAACGCCATCATCGCTTGAGAAGAGAGCATCAGGCTTCTACAGTATACAAACATAACAGTCAAATAGAAGGCCACTTCTCTCTCTCTCTCTCTCTCTCTCTCTCTCTCTCTCTTTCTCTCTCTCTCTCTCTCTCTCTCTCTCTCTGACTTTCTCTCTGACTTTCTCTCTCTCTCTCTCTTTCTCTCTGACTTTCTCTCTCTCTCTCTCTCTCTATCTAGCTATAGGCTGTGGGTTGCGCGATGGCGAGCCCGCGAATTCGCAGTACGTATAATTGGTATTTTACGACGCATACACATAAAGTAAAAGCCGATGACTGTAGTAGCTAGACATCACTTAAATACTTTCTGTTTTATGTGTAGCTACTTCGAATGCAGCCATTGATTTTCAATACACACACCTCTGTATAACGAGCGCTACCTTAATAAGTAGATCGCATCGAAGTTATGTCAATTCGCTGCTGTCTGCTAACTAACACGGGTTGTTAGCTCTCTTGTCTTGTGGTGCTAACAGTCGATCGATTAAGCCATCGTACCGCAGTCTGTGCTTACTTTCTTAAGTAAGTTTGCCTGCTTGCTGTCCATATGCTTGGCTTGAGCTGTCACTGAGCTCTAGCCTACAGCTTACAGCAGCACGACGATATATTAAGCTGTGTAGCACACTCCATGGTTGACCGAACGCTTTTGTTCCTGAATATTGTTGGATAACACACGACCTTAGGGTGGCAAGCGACAGCTCATATGAAGTCCCAAGAACTGAGGCAGACTGATCAATAAACTCTGCTAAACTACATCGATAATCGACTATTAGTAGAACCAATGCGGGGGGGGGGTAATGATTCTTGGTTCGCGACCTTATAACGAACCTCTGCGCGCCATTATCGAAAGCCGAGCTCCAGGGCGAACCTGAAAAATCTGAGCTTACCAAACGGATTCTCTGGCTCTCAGGGGTTCTCAAATTAAGATAATAACCGTCACACCAGCTTCGGATAAAAAAATAACCCTTGCAATGGAGAACTTAGCGTTTTTCTTATTCCGGCTGAGGGTAACCTGTACATCAGAAGTGCAATCAAAACGTTAACTCACCTACCCGTAGCGTGGCGGAATGTTTAGCTGTTCATATGAGTATAGTAGTGATGTGGTACTTTGCACATCGGCAGGAGCCGAAGGAATACTGCGATGTCCTTCTTTATTGGTTTGGGGCTTTTTAAACCCCAAAGTAAGTAAATTATTGTTTACAAAAAATAATGTCTCTCTAAACCTCATCTCTATGTTGTCCCGATTAATTTTTTCTTGTAAGTGTGGCGCCATGGCCGTATATCTACTAACAGCGTATAAACAGGTGATACGCCAGTAGCGTTTCAGAACTAGATCCCATGATCAGCCCATAGTGAAGCGGTTCGGCTAACCGACATTCCAACGGCCACGCCCAAATGTGCCTACCCGGTGTAACTAAACACTTCCACGCATTCCTTCTGTACGATAGTCTCGGCCTTAACGCCGGCTGGGTCGCGCTGGAATTTCGGCCAGTTGGAGATTAGTGGCGACGAAGTCTACCTTTACCGTTTAGCGTCCAACGTTCTCAAGAGTGAAGTAGTGACGAATGTCGATGTGTTTGGTCCTCGTGTGATATTCAGCGTTTCTTGCCAGTGCAATGGCACCTTGCTTGTCCTCATATCTGCGTCGCTCTCACCCATGGCCTTAGGCATCGTCAGCATATCTTGCGTGCACAGGCCGAGGGATGTGTACTCTTCTTCAGTCGAGCTGAGTGCAGTCGCCATAGGGAGCTTCGACTTAAATACCACTGGGGCGCTTTTAATCATGACACCGGACATGGAGCGTCAGTCATCGATGCTGGAACCCAAGTCCGTGTCGGTATATGCTTGAGTCGTAGTGCTCCCCAAAGACCTTGGTACACAACGTCGTGCCCCCGTGTAGTCTCCCAATACCGCAGATCGCGAATTTCTGCCTTCCAGAGCTGTAGCCCTGGGCTCTTGTAAAGCGTGGCAACTGTCTTACGAAGTACGCGACATCCGTTCTAGTGAATATAGTGCTCTACATCAGCCACTCGACCAAGCAACGGTACGAATTCACCTGCAGCTCGAAGTGTTCCATCTCCGTTGGCGACAAATCCTTTAAGAACTTCATGTTTGATGAACACGGGCTCTCCACCGCTTTAATGTTCTGCTGGTTCAAGCGCTTCACAACGTAATCGATGTAGCGTGTCTGCTTAATCCTAAGCGCTCCACCCGACCGGTCGTGATGATCGTCAGACCCTGAACGAATTTGGCCTCGCTGAGTTACCCCATCCTCAAGGCGTTCGTCAGGGCATTCTGGACCGTACGGATCTACTTCCGTGTCTCCGCCACTATGGCCATGCCCTTCCCGTACAAGCACACGTACACGGACGTCTTCCTGGAACGCTTGCCGTAGCCACGTTGGTCGGGACCACAGCACTTGAAGCCGTTCCGAATGAACACGTGATATATAGTCTTATTCTATGAGCTGACAGAAAGCTTCAAACCACAGAATAATTTCTTCATGTTGCACATCAAATCTTCCGCGTCCAAGCGGAATAGACTACTATGATACTGTTCAGCAACGCTGTATCTGCATTGAGCTGCTCAATAACGCCGTATGACACGCACACCGCAAGAACCCCCCAAATCGAACCCACATTTTCAACCTGAACGTACGTGTCAAAGAAGTATATTTCAAACTTCTGCTTGAATCGTGACAAAGCGTGCATTTGTACCGGGTGAGGCGGTTGTTCCCTTAGCGCTACATCTCTCTCTTGCTCTAGGGACGTCAATCCATACTTGGCACCCCCCTCCCCACTAAGGCGTCCACGTGAGCCCGTTCCAACTCACGCGGTGTCGTTATTGTCAGCCGGGACGATAACGATGTCACCGTTTGCTTTCCTTCTATCGGGGTGTCCCATGTGAGCGTTCAAAGCTCACACTCGATTCCAGTCCTAGCGTGCTGCACGAGTCGCGCTTCTTTCTTGTAGACCTTCTTCGTGGAGGCAATCGCACAACCGGCTTTCCAGCTGACACATGACAAACGCTGATAACGCGCAATCCACATCCCGCAGCTTTTCCAAATACATCGACCGCCTTTCGAGCCCCGGAATGAATAGTACGTACGTGCGTCTTCCATCCAAACCTGTCAGCTGAACCGTTCCCGTCCTTTCTATGCGCACTGTCTTGCCGTCTATAGATCTCCCCCTAAGAATCAGGAACTTGTTTCTGCAGTAGTGGGGGTCTTCCATAATCCATATAAGACGGTTTAATCCGTTTAACTGGTAATTCGAAATAGATTACAAATAGGTTTAATGCGCACTAAAACCGCTGATAGAACACGACCTTCGGGCAAAGTGAGGCTCAGTCATGTTTCTCATGCTATTAATTAAAGGTCGGACAAGAAATATTTGGTAAGACCTGAACGTGGTCTCACCCTACAATTCGTGGTGATTAAAATTTGTTTAGGTTTTTCACCCACCGCATAGGTGGGACGGAATACAAAATGTTTGTATTGAAGTGCACAACTTTGCTTGTGTTTTTACTAGTGCTCCTTTTGTAGTAATTTGGAGCCGTTCTCGGTGGAAGCGCTATAGGCGACAATCGAGGGTTTTACGCGCTTGGCTTTCGCGGCCATTGCGGGTGAGCTACCCGATGCGGTTGAGGGTATGTTGAGCGGATGGATCCATGCATCGGAGCACTACGTGGCCGTGTTTGCGGTGTAAGAAGCACTTAGCGCCATGACACCTGAGCCTGATGAAGGCCTATCCGCACGCACTCACTGCGAATTTCTGACAACGATACTAAGGCGCGGCTTCCAGAAACAGCTGACATGTTGTAAGTTCCTGGTCGGAGCCAACGGTTTGGTATACAGACGATTCGCGACCATGACGCAAGAATTGCTGTTCGGGTGCACGATCCTCTTAACTGGGCCGTGCAACACAAGCTCACGCATCATAAAAATAATTTGGTAGTCGTACAAAAATAATTTGGTAGTCGTACAAGCTCTAATATCGAAGCTCCGAACGCTGAAACAATCAACGAAATTTCGGTAACTAGTACTCAAATTACTTTGGCTTATAGTTGATATGACTCAAAGGCTAATATTTTGTATTACTTCCAAAAGATAGTATTGCGTACCGGACCACTGGCTCCGGAGATCGCAGTTCAAACCCTGCGCAAAAACGGTAAAACAGTGGCGACGATGGGTAATATAAAAAGGTGTTAAGTAGACGTTGATTCGACTTAAGTTGCTTATGCGTGTGTCCGTAGTGTGTGAGTGAATATGTCAAGCTGTCGTAGATCTTTCTAGGGATGCATGCGTAGGTTGTTGAAGATGAACGTGGTGGAATCACGGCGGAGTCACTATCCCGATGTGGTGTAGCTTGGTTTCGACCCGGCAGCAGTCACGGTAGACGCGTAGTTTGGTTGGTACGAACAGGATAATGGAGCCAGGCGACGGGATACTTGGGTTGTCAGCTGCAATGGCGTACAGCGACGGAGTAATTAGGAATTGGTTAGCCTGGAAGGGGTCGTCGCGCTGTGTCTATTTAATATGCCTGCAGAAGAGTTGATAAGAACGGGCTTTTTCCATTGACGATTGTACGGGAGACTTACCGCTTGTTGTTCGTGCAGTCCTTATGCTGCACTCGTCTCCCTCCACCACCTCGCCTCCACCGCTACGTGCTCTCCATGGCTCCCCCCACCACCTCGCCTCCACCGCTATGAGCTCTGTAATGCTTCCTTCTGTCTCCCTCTTTGGGTCGCACCCGTTCGCTGAGCCTGTCAAAAACATGCGCATCGAAGGTTGCTTCAGTGTGCTGTGTGCCGAATGCTAAGAGATAGCCCCCCCCAACACAGCTCTCACTCAAGTTCGATCTGCGAACTGCGGTTTCAAAACGCCGCTTTGGTCAATCATTCGCCAGGACATTTGGTGGGGTAAACTACGCAATGGCGCAACGCTAATTCGTGTGCGACGCTCACGAAGCTGGG